TAGATAGCACGGATCATATGCTAACAATCTACTTATCCTATCATTACTTTAAATAGCACTTTTAAGTTAACATAAGTAGGTCTTAAGTAAGCTAAGTAAAATTAAGTTTCACCAAAAAGGCTAAGTAGACACCGGCCTCGAGGTGGCAGGGAATCGAGAGAAAAAACCAGCCTGATCCCCAGATGTCTCAAGCTGGCTGGTTGACTTGTGAGTTGGGACTGCTGCTTTCAAATCTTGACAAGAATCACAAGAACTAGAACTTCCCTTACTTCCCTTACTTCCCTTACTTCCCTTACTTCCCTTACTTCCCTTACTTCCTTCCTTCCTTCCTTACTTACTTACTTACTTACTTACATGCATAACATAATACTATACTGTACTAGACTATGCATGATTCAAATTCTTGATTCTTGTTGTTAGGTTTGGCTGCTAGGCCGCTTAAGCAGCCCGTTGATCACCAGATAGCATACTTAGTTACTTAACATTTCTGTTTTCATGCATTGCTGCCTATTATCGACTATTTCCTGATCATGCATGGCATGGTATTGCATGTTCAAAAATCATATCATTTGATTTGAAATTTGAAAATTGTGATTTGATCATTTCCAAGTGGTGCTGGAAGCTGGTGCCGACAGATCACTCGATGTCGGGAACAATAAGGTATTCGCCTGTGGCTCGCTATCATGGAGCTTGTGTTTGAGGCTCAGGAACATTTTGAAGAGGGGACTGACAGATTCTAATGATTCTAATTCTAATGATTCTAAATTCTGATTCAAATGCAGTCAAACCTGAGCTGGGAGTTTCTCATGTAATGGTATTCATATACGTTACGTAACGTACGTACGGTATATACTATACTGAATACTGAACTGTATACTGTATACTGTTTACTCTACTGTATACTGTATACCGACATACCACCGCAGACTCAAATATGAACCCGGCAGAGAGACAGTCACTCTCTCATCATAAGCTGAACGAGGTTCCACCGAAGACCTGCGATTCCAGTGCTTAGTAGGTGGACCCAAACAGGGGAGTGCATTCGCTTCTACATGCCTGGTTCTGAGCGATTCTGCAATGAAACTCGCACTGGGGCTGTTGGTTTTGCAATGTGTCTATAGGCTGGCAATGGCTTTCCACAATTTGCTGGGACAAGCTTGGTGGAAGCCCTATTGGGTGGAGTTGCACATTTAAGTCAAGCAGGTTAAGGTGATGTGATGTGATGCGACGTGTTGAATTGAGGTGGCAGTTGCAATTGTGTGTTCACACAGCTAGTCAGTGTTGCAAATTGTTGCAAGTGCAACACTTCTTTTCAGTCTTCTCATGTAATGTCACCACCACGATCACCATGTCATCTATTTTCTTCAATGTTGAGGGCCTCATTGTTTGGGAAGGCGTCGCCACTGGCCCAAAGAGTCACAGATGGTAGGGTTGCAAGAGGTAGAGAGTGCCCAGTACCAACGCATTCAAAGAAAACGTGCGAAACGTGCGACCGAATTTGTTCACCGTCCTGTGACCTTGAAAACCTTGATCATATCTGCGACGATGCTGGCGCCCATTGAGAGAGTTCTGCCGGGTCCCAAGCTTTACAGTTTGATTAGATTCAAACAGTTTGGTTAGTTTGATTTTGTATGTCGTCATGAATTCATGATGTCAGTTTTTCAGATTTGTCAAGATTGATTATTATTAATGAACGGTTAAGTTATGGATGGTTTGGTTGGCTGACCAACAGGCAAGACTCGAAACTGAAACTGAAAACAGCTTAAGCTTTTGCTGCCCATACTGCCAGGTTCACCCTCTTCATAGAGCAAAAGTGCAGAACATGGCTGCATAATGGCGACGAACCAGAAAATTTGCCTGCAGTGAAATTTGCTGTGGCAGAGAGGTTTGGGGCCCATGAATGACAGACTGGATCGGATCAATCAGTTTCATATTATTTGTTAGAATTAGAATTCAATTCACTGCTAAGTTTTAGTCTTAGTCTTAGTCTTAGTCACAACATCCTGCTGTCACATTGTCCGAGTTATAAGGTCCCCAGCAGTACAAGCCCTTACATCGTATGTGGAGCTTGCAATGGGCAACCTCCCTCCCACAATGAGTGGCTGCTTGGGGCGAGTGTCAGATTTGATTTAGAAATTTAGAAGAACAACTGTTGTAGAGTGTACACTGTTTATGCTTGATGATGACTATGACTATGATTGAGCAAAGAGTAGTTGAATTGTTCGATATATTTTTTGATTCTGATATGATTCTTGGTTTCTGAAACAATGATTCTGATTCTGATATCATTTTATTTACACTTGTTTAAATTATTATATTATATATTATATATTAAATATTATATATTATATATGATATATTATATATTAAATATTATATATTAAATATTATATATTATATATTATATATTATATATTTTATATTATATATTATATATTATATATTATATTATATTAAAAAATAAATTAAATAATTAAATATTGATAAAACAAATCAAGTGATGCGATATTGTAATTTATCATATATGATTATGATTATGATTATGGTTTTTGAATATGATATGGTATGATTCATTCATATGATTCGCCCTTGATATGGTAGGTAGGGTAGGCGTGTTGTAGTCGTAGACTTAGGTAAATAGCTCGTGACTCGTGACGCTGTCTGATGTCTGAGGCTAGAAGGTTTAGTTAGCCCACTTTCCACTTCAACATTTCAACTTCCATGAAGTTCGAGTTCCAAGTGGTTAGACAGTTTCATGAATTATGAATCATGACATGATTCATTCATTCCAGTCAACTCCAGTCAGAAAAAATGGAGAACGCCTGGAGAAAAATCCACACAAGGCTTTGGCGAAGCAGATATGCAGCTGGCCCAGTTCACATTGCTATCCATCGTTGGACACACATGGCACCGACTGGTTCTGCCTTTTCAGGCCAGGCAATTCCCGTTCCGTTTGCCGACCACTAGATCTCAGCATGTATGAGACACAGATTGAGTTTAGTTGAATTTGAATCGATTATAGCCTAGTCGTTCTAGTTGTCCAACACTTTGCAGGCTTAGCCGCATCGTTTAGCGGTGCTCTAGAGCTTGGATCCTGCGTCATCAGATGCTGACAAAGATGGCATTGCGAGCCAGTTCATGATGATGCCATCGTGTTGTGTGGATTCATCATTTTCCAATCGGCTGAAATTGTACATGGAGGCAAGGGTATCTTGCAACAATAGGCAACAGGCAACCCTCATGCTTCAAGTTTCTGCAACTAACTTGCATCAAGAGCTCCTGTAGGCGAATGGGCTCCCCTCAGCTGAACTTCTGCCAAGAGGTCATGTGCACGAAGTGGTGCATTGCTCAGTGAGCGTTCGTTTAGAGTTTATGGTTAAGAAATTAGAGATGAGTTCGAGAACCGCAATGCAGTTTAGTTTAGTTTAGTTTATAAAAATAAACTTAGTTACTGAACTTAGTTACTTAAGTTGTTACTAATAAACCAAAACTGTGTTTTTATGATTGATCAATGCTGTACCATCACTATCAACTTGAATCATCAGTTATTTGATGTGATGATTGATTTGAGGATGACAGACCACAGGGACGATTGACAATTGGCAGTTTAAACTTTAAACTGACACTTTCAAATCACTTAGCTGACTTCACTGTTAAATTCACCTTGATTACTTTCAGTTTGCAGGATTCTCTAACCCAAACCTTGATAACACTGGTCATTGGCAGGTCAAAATTGCTCAGATGAGAAAGCTGTCCAACAACGAAGTGGAATGGAACTTCGCCAGAGCGGCCAGTCAGCGCGCATGGGAGTCTCAAATTTCTTTCTTGTGGTAAATCAAGTTGCAAGTAAGCACAGTCCACAGTCCACATGAAATACTACCCCGTATCTCATCGTTTTGAGTTTTGAGTTGGCCCAGGGTGTGCAGGGAAGGTCACATCGGATTGAGAGCGTTGCTGGAAACTTAGCTATCTGACTGCCGGCAAGTTGAAACCAACCATTAACCTACCTATCTATCATCTTTCACAAAAAACAGCAGACCAGAAGCTGACATCATTTGTCGGACACTTGACGGTCAAACTGGGAATGGTAGTTGACGTTGATGAAACTGAACTAAATAAATAACCACGCAGTGGCGGTATCATTCGGATTAATTAATTATTTATTTAGTGAAGTAAAGAGAAAGAATGCGAAAAGCAAACTGTGAAATATTGTGCTGTTGGCTGTTGTTGCACTGCACTTGCATTATGGTTTTGGACTCTGGACTCTGGACAAAAACAATGACTACTGACTGACTGACTTCACTATTTATATACCGTCATCCGTCTATACTTACCAATACCTGCTCTCCATGGGCTCATATTTTTCCTTTCACTCTCACTCTCACAGTCTTCTAAGGTCTCGAAATATGTGCTGACGGAAATTCAAAAGGACCATCATGCTGCACAATTGGAACAGCTACTGCCGATGGACGATGAAGAAGGGGAGGAGAATGAATCAGGCGAGGCCAGGTCAGGACAAAAAGTAGAGAGTCAAGCCGGCAACAGCGTCGCCGGTCTTTATTTGCAATATTTTGTATTTTGTAGTATTTTGTAATTAATAGTAAAAAAAATCATCCAGTACGACATTTGTAATTGATGATTGACTTGCATGAGCCGATCATGAGCCATTTCAATGAGCCAATTCCGTGAGGCAACAAGACATACAATGGCTTCACATATTTCATGAAGAAGGCCTTGACAAACCGAGTTTGGGACTCAACTGAACATGGCGACAGCGAAGAGTGCTACATATAATTTATGTGAATAGTTAGTCAGTAGCCAGGAGATTTGTTGTCATCAGAAGAATTGATTTGCTTTCACTGCTGTCTCAGGTTGTTTTGCCCGGTGAAAGTGCAGATGCAGCTAGGCTTCGCACAAGACAAGAAGCAATTCAGCAGTGGAGGGCAAATGCCCCTTTGTGACAGGAGTGAGTTTTTATGATGTGTCAAGTGCCAGGTGTCATGTGTCATCTGTGTCATGTGTGTGATCTGAAGAATTCTGTGACCACCAAGAGAAAGAGCCTCAAACGGAGAAGCGGAGATATTAGCTACATCACTGAGGCGCTGGAGAACATCTTGGGCACAATCTATGCTGTCTCAGACTTGTTGAAGAAGATGGAGAAGGGGCTTTATGAAGGAGCAAGTGTTTACCAAGCAATCAAAGACCTTATCCCCTTTGTCATGTCCGAGACTGACATTTCTGCTGCAGTGTGGGAACGCGGCCTTAAAGCTATTGCTTTTGAGGACACTGTTTCGAGCCGGGTGCCTGGGAAATATGATACTTGCGAGCTGGTCAGCTGTAACTGTAACTGTAACTGACTTCAGAGCTTCAGACTCTTCCAGACTTTAATTTTGTTTCGAGATTCGACATACAATACTGATCTGATACTTTAAGACTTTAATTAACTATAATTTAGTTGAGTTGAGTTGAGTTGAATCAAATGATCATGGGTCATGAGTCATGAGTCTAGACTAGACTCTCTGACTGATTGACTCTTTGTGCGATACGTGATGCATCTGCAGGACCTGAAAACGGGTGCTTGGGATCACTTCTTTGGCCAGACACGGGAGCTCCGTTCAAATCATCTTGGCGGCAATGCAGGAAGAGAGTTTTTCGCTTTGCTTGCCAGCCAGCTTCTGCAAAGGATGCTGAAATCGGGCAGTAGTGCCAAGCTTGTGAAAGACCCCAAGGAGATGGAGTTTCTGTGTGGGTTCGTGAAAGCTATGAGGGCTTTGCTCCAAGATTGCTCCACTGCACTGGGTGATGGTGACTCCCTCACGGTGTCAACCAATGTGGGCCACATTCTTGATTTCACTTCCACACCACAAGATGTCATGAGTGCAAACAATGACTTGGGAAAGTCTGAGCACTGGCTAGCCAAAGCATTCTGCCTGGACAAGGGCAAGAAATTGATGGCTTTGGCGGTTGAAAATGCTGACAAGCGTAGCAGCCAAAGCAACATTTTGGAATCCATCAAGAACCAGGTTGCAAGTCTGGAGGAGCAAGCATATCTGAACGCTGAGGAATACTTCATGGCGACGTACACTATGGATGCCAAATATGGATCCATGTTTCTTGGACTTTAACTGCAGTCCACGTAGGCTCTCTTCTCTGTTCTTTCTTTTTTCCCTCCGAGTCTCCGAGTTTCTCTCCGAGTATTACACATCACCAATCATCAATCATCGATCAGGAATTCAGGAACCAGATTCATCAGTCAGATTCCAGTACCGGAACCCAAGTTAGGTCAAATAGAGCCAAATCAAAGTAACATGATTATAATTATACCCATCAGCTTTCGCCTGTACACTAAGGCTGACAGAAGCCTATGACGTTGTCAAAGATCCTGCAACAAAGAGCCTGAAAGGTGCAGACCGTGATTCTCTCAAAAAGTTGCAGAGACTGGTTGATGATGCAGTCTACACTGCAGTTATGACCTATTTGAAGAAGGAGTGCAATTCCTTCATTGAGGACTTCGGCAAGGCCATTGGCAAGAGACAGCCTTTTGAGCGAGAGCTTCTTGGACCAGACTCATGCCTGTTGTGTTTGGGAGATGTTGGCACGACTGGCAAGTTTGCCAAGCAGGTGTCTGACCATTTCAAAATTGGCCTTACCTTCGTTTCTCGAGTGAATGAGGCTTTGGAAGGAAAGCTTGATCCCAAGGAAGCACGGCAGTGTGTCGAGGAGTGGGAGACGTGGTCTGAGGATACGGTGAAGATTTACTCACAGGTTTTTACTTCAACGTCATGCCCAGCAAAGAAGGCATTTGAAGAGGAGCCAGGGACCATCAAGAGACCTTTGTATCCGTCACTGAGGAAGTGAAAGAGTTGCTTTGTGGCCAAGTGAATTCCTCTGCCATTGACGCGGCTAGCAGTTGTCTCATGTTCGTTGCAGACAACATCTTGGCTGATCCTGAGGTTGAACTACCAGAGAAGAAAGTCACGCAGTTTTGTCAGGATGTGGAAAAATCAGCTCGCATGTCAAGCGTCATGGACCAGGAGGAGGGAGAGTCTATCAGGGCAGGTCTGAACATCTTGGAAAAGCTTGTCAGGTCGGTCGCTGTGTTGAAAAGTGATGCAGTCAATGCAAAGGGGAAAGCGATGAAAACGGAGAGATTACATCTAAACAGCTTGAAGATCTTGGTGCCTACTACCAGCTTCTAGAGAACAGCAAGCCTGGTGACATGAAGGCCACCTTGGAGGTCCTAAGTGGTATCATTTCAGGTTCCAGTTCCGACCAGTCAGACAAGGACAAGCCTCCTCACATCAAAGAGTTTGACTCGGTGATTGGTGATTTCCTGGTTTGTCATGATGAGAGTGTTCAGGAGCAGGTTGGTCTTCTTCGGACCTCATTCACTGAGGAAGTGAAAGCCATTGAAATCCCAGAGACTTTGGAGCTTCTGCCGACCGTGGTGCAGCCTTGTACACTGAGCCATTTCTTTGAGGATGCAACGATCAATTTGATCAAAGACTCTTTTGGCAAAGACGCAAGCAAGCCTGTCATTGAGGCCGCTGTGGCTTTGGAAGAAGCCATCCGGAACATTCAGCGTGGGGCGACTGGCCTGAAGATGAAGCCTGAAGTGTTCTTCCCTGAGTATCCACACGTGGAGTCGACTTGGAAGAAATGCTTGCTCTGGATGTCTGGGTCCAAGTTGTTGCAGTGGGTGGGGAGTAGGGAGTCTCACATCACAATACACAGACACACTTCACACTTAGCTTCTCACTGCTGCACTGCTCTCTGTACTGCACTGCGTCAGTCTTCTTAGTCCCAGTCTCAGTCACTAACTAATCAAACTGTGTGTGATTGGGATTTTGACCTAGCCTGACCTGGCCTGACACTGACATTAGTTTTTCATTTCCCGTCATTCCCGTCCCGTTATTCCCGTTTCCAATTCCCAGGACAACCGGCAACATGCTGGGAACCCTGTGCTCAAAGTCCGTTCGGAAATCGATTCAAGCAAAGTCGAAGATCACAGATGCAGTCTCTAACAATCTCAAAGGTGCATTGGAAGTGGTGGATGATCACAAGCTGGAGGTGCCTGGTCACATCCTGAACATTGCCAAGGCCCTTTTGGCTGGAGAGCGCTCAGATGTCTTGAAGTAGAACTACCATTCGCAAAAGATCAAAGTTAGAGAGTTGCATAAATGAGAGCTGCATTGGACTCAGTACTAGGGCTGAATTCAGCCAATCGCATTCTGCATTGTGTACAGCCTTGTTTCCATTAACTTATATGGACAGTGAAGTAGTTCGCTGCCCTATCACACACACACAAATCCTGGCATGATAGTAGAAGTAGTAGAAGGGATCTGCTTTTCTTGTTGCTTCGGGTGGCCAGCCGTGCAATATGGCAGCTGTCTGACGTTGACACTTTTAGCAGCAGGGGGTAGCGTTTGTTTGCTCAGCATCTTTGATGTTGAGGCATTTGACTCGTTTGTTACTGTCAGTCTTGGTTAGCTCATGGCTCATGCGTTCATTCATTCGACATTTTTCAATTGTTTATTTCTGTCGCAATTCCGAACTCCAAACCAAAGATTTACTCTTTGCTCTCAGTCTGGTAGATTAGCAGGTAGTGAAATTCATTGAACGTGGCAACAACCATGACTGATTGTTTCCCAGGCAGGGTGTGATTTGGGCGACTTAGCTTGCATGTCGTCGAAACCGTACCATAGTCATAGACATTTGACATAGATCAGACTTGAGAGTGGGAAAGGAACGAAAAATGAAAATTGGACTTCTGGACGACTTTGGACTTCAGGGTCGGGGACGCTTTATTCGGTGTGCTGCACTGCTGTGTGTGTGGCCCGTCATTGACTCTGACTCTAACTCAAATCTAGGAGTTACTAAGACTCTGATTCTGAGTCTAAGTCCAAGACTAAGACTCACAATCTGAGATTCACAATCTGAGACCTGAGATTCACAATCTGAGTCTGAGATTCTGAGACGCTGAGATCTGATTGGGTTCGATATGTCATGTGTCTGGTGTCTGTCTCTTTCTAGTTCCTGTGCATCGTGGTAGCCACTGCCACTTGCCATTCATTTCGATTTCAATTGATGCTGATGCTGCAGCTGCTTGACCCAATTCAAGCAGCTACTTGACCCAGGACCCCGGTTAGAAAGTGATCAGAGAGCAACCGATCTTGATCTGGTCTGACTTTTTTGCGCTTGCCTTTGTGGCGCAATGCCTCCGAAGGCAGCCAACAGTAAGCTGGCCCCAAGTTCACCCAAAGTTAAGCCTAAGGCCAAGGCTAGTACGCCTAAGGCAAAACCTGCCGAGAAGAAGAAAGTTGAGAAGCCCAAAGCGAAGGCGAAGGAAAAGGAGAAGGTGAAAGTGAAAAGAGAAGAGCCAGATACACCACAGACTACTGGTAGCCGTAGAGCCAGCAAAGCCTCTCGGAAACTGCAGGAGCCAGATCCAGAGGCTGGCAAGTTTTGGGCCAAGGTGAAGCGTCAAGGTCAAGGTGATCAAAGCTGTGAGCAGCAGCAACCAGGACTGAACTTAGACCTGACTTGGATTGTTGGGCAGATTATCATTCATACTTCATACACTGTTCAATGTCAAAATTCATAATAAATAATTATTAATATACTGTATAAATAAAAATAATTGCACAACTTACAACTTATATAATAATATTCATAAAATATTTTAAAATTAAATTTAAACTTATGATGTTTTGTTTATTTTTTATTTAATAAAAACATTAAATTTATCATTTCCTGTATACTGTAATTGTATTAGTGTAAGTGATATAGAATTATATTGTTTATTTTTATTTATATCGTATAATAGATAGGATAGAAATATATTGTTCTATTTTTATAATTTATATTTGTCTTATTAACATTTTAATTATCGTTATGTTTATTTTGATTGATTATATATTATAAAATGTAATTCAAGTGTAGTTTATAATTTAAATCTGTTTAATAATATATAATATAATTAAATATATTCTTATATCATATCATATTTTTTGATTATTAATATAAATGCAACTATAATATATTGATTATTTAGATTTGTTTAATTTTAATTTTATTTTTATATAGTCTTAGTCTCAGTCTAGAGTCTATAGTTTAATTTAATACTTTATTGAGCAATATAATTTCACCATACAAACTTTTGATGATATTATGATATGAAAATTTGACTATAATATGGAAATAAATATTAATATCACCAATAATTAGCAATTCCAATATGTAATCTGTATATATTGTAACTTAAACAAAATATAATATAATATAATAAAATATAATAATATATCATATAATACAATACAAGGTTATAACTTAATGTCATGTAATGTAAAAAACAATATAATATAATAAATTACAATACGACACAAGATAATATAATATAATTTAATATGATATGATATAATATAATATAATAGAATAGAATATAATAAAATATAATTAATAGAATATAATATAATATTATTTCACATATTATGTATAATACAATTTGATATAATGCAATGTGATTCCCTGTTTAGTGCGATGGCAATATATATATATATACAATAATCAGTAAATATCTAATAATATTTTTATATCCACTATACAATGTGTTCATTTTATTCATTTAAATATCTTTTTGTATATATATATATATTTATATGTCTATATATATTATACCTTTTCTGATGTGATAAATAATTGTGTTCAAGGGCGCCACTTTTCCTGCCAAGCACTCAGGCTCTGATAGTGAGACGCATGTCTCGCCTTTGAAAGGAAATGTTTTCCCTCCTGAAGTGAGCCTCCTGGATGAGGCTCAGAAATTCTTCCCTGACACCTCCTGGACGAGGTGATTCAAGCTAACCTCCTGGTTGAGGTCATTTCGAAATGAAAAATCAGCCAGATCAAAAGAGATCAGCTGTACCTTTCCACGCTCCCAAGCAAAGCGTCCTCCCACATAGAAATGTGGGATCAAAAGTGATATTTCGCAAGCATTGAGGCTGTATAAGAGGAACGCTTGATGGATGGGAGGTAGCTAAGGGCATCCATTATATATATACGGGCAACACGGGAAGATTCCCAGCGCCCGCGAAGGAGCGCCTCTTCCATAGATTTACTTTGCTGAAATGTGTGTGTTGCACCTCCACGTCTGAGGCTGTAAGGACAAAAAGCATGTTGCTGTAGTCCAAAAGCAATGCACAGGTTTTTAAAACGTGTGCGGAATGCAGATCCTCTAGAAGACCAGAAAGGTTGCATCTCAAGCCCTCATTTGACTTTGACGTCAACCAAAGCCTGAACTGTTTCCAGTACTATAGGATCAGAAATTGTGATAGCTTCATTGGCGCTATTGCGTCGCCCAGATTTTGTTTCTTTTAAAGAAACAATTCCAAATTTCGAATTCAAGGTAATATCATGTGCTCGGAGTTTCAAAGCCTCACCTGTACGCAAAAGACAGTGGAAGGAAACTAATAATATGGCTGCCATCTCAAGGTGATCGTTGTCTAATTCATAGGCGGCCATTGATCGCACCAGCTCCAAAGTCAGAGGAGCTGCACGAGAAGGAATCTCAATGCGCTTCCATACTTGGAACAATTTCCAGGAATGAGGGATTTTTCTCTTAGTCCACGGTTGGAAAAAGTGAAGACTGCTTAGCCCATCCCCCACTGTCAAAAGTGGCTCACCGCTACGCCACATGTTTCGTATCCAGCTGCAAACAGTGCTATCCAGGTCAGCTTCAGAAACCAAACCTTCCAAATAAGGTAATAATTTCTTCAGAGCAGAGTAGTACCTGACCTGGGTTTTATCACTGAAGGCTGCGTCATCCAAAACTATATGACGTCTCCTGTGACGGCGCTCTGCCC